CTAAAGAAGGATTGCCTAGATCGTCGAAAGCAGGGTGGTGAAAAACAGGAGTCAGGGGATGCAGATGTAGCCTCGGATGGCTATGAGAGGTCTGAGTTGCTCTGCGTTTCAGATGAAAACACAAACCTGGAATGGGTTATGGACTCGGGGTGCTCATTTCACATGTGCCCTCATAAGTCTTGGTTCCAGAATTACAGGGTAAGCAATAATGGACAGGTGTTGCTCGGGAACAACAAGGCCTGTAGAGTTCTAGGTATTGGAGACATTCGACTGAGGCTGGCAGATGGCGTTGAAAGAGTCTTAACCGGTGTGAGATATGTTCCAGAGTTAAAAAGGAACTTGATCTCTCTTGGCATGATGGATTCACAAGGCTACTACATCCAGGCTGAAAGAGGGATCTTGAAGGTCATCAAGGGATCCATGATGGTCATGAAAGGACTCCTTGATAATGGACTATATCTGCTTCAAGGAAAAACGGCAATAGGAGTGGCTGCACCAGCTGAGAGGGCTGAGTATTCAAAAACTTAGCTCTGGCATCAGAGGCTGGCCCATATCAGTGAAAAAGGCTTGAAGGAGCTAGAGAAACAGGGTCTTCTAGGAGGAAACAAGCTTCACGATTTGCCCTTTTGTGAACACTGCATATAAGGGAAGGCAAGCCGGGTCAAGTTCTCAACAGGAGTGCATCACACGAAGGCAATTTTGGATTATGTCCATTCAGACCTTTGGGGAGCATCAAGAGTTCCATCACACTCCGGAGCTAGGTATTTTCTGTCTATAATTGATGACTATTCCAGAAAACTTTGGATTTATATCCTAAAGAATAAGAATGATGCTCTAGAAAAGTTTAAGGAATGGAAAATTTTGGTAGAAAATCAAACTGGCAGGAAGCTTAAAAAATTGAGAACAGACAATGGTTTGGAGTACTGTGGGAGTGAGTTCACTCAGTTCTGTAAAGATCATGGAGTGGCAAGGCATCACACTATTAGAAAAACCCCTCAACAGAATGGTCTTGCAGAGAGGATGAACAAGACAATTCTAGAGAGGGTTAGATGCTTACTCTCAAATATCTTTCGAAGGTTTTCTAGGCAGAGGCTGTAATGACTGCAGCTTACTTGATTAACAGAAGTCCCTCAGTAGCTATTGACCTTAAAACGCCAGAGGAAAAGTGGTCAGGCCATCCTCCAAATTTGGAGCACTTAAGGGTATTCGGATGTACAGCCTATGCTCACATCAATCAGGGGAAGTTGGAGCCTAGAGCACTAAGGTGCATGTTCTTGGGATATGCAGAAGGAGTAAAAGGCTACAGACTCTGGTGTGTGCAAAAGGGGCATCCAGAGGTGTTTAACAGCAGGGATGTAGTCTTTAGAGAATCAAAAATGTATTACTCTAAGGTAGATAAGACTGAATCCGAACCTGTAAATGGTGATCACAGCCAGGAGTCAGAGAAATTACAATTCGAGGTGGAGGGTTCAATGCACTCAGACAGTTGGCTCAACCCTGGCAAAGAACAAGCAGAGGCTGAAGATGAACCATCACCAGAAAATTTTGATCAACCTGAAAATGAAGACTTGGCAAGGTCAAGTAGCTCAGGTCATTTGCAGGACTACGCATTGGCTCGGGATAGACAGAGAAGACGTGTAAGGGCACCTGAAAGATTTGGCTATGCAGAGTTAATAGCCTTTGCCCTGACAGCAGCATCCGAGGTTGAAGATCTAGAGCCTAGATCCTTTCGAGAGGCAATAAATAGCAAGCATTGTAACCAGTGGAAGGATGCAATGGAAGACGAGCTAAAGTCCTTACATAAGAACCAAACTTGGAAGCTGGTACAAAGGCCGCCAAAACAAAAGCTAATTGGAAGTAAATGGGTGTTCAAGTTCAAGGAAGGCATACTTGGTGTGGAGAAACCTCGGTACAAGGCAAGACTAGTCGCCAAAGGATTCTCCCAAAGAGAAGGAATAGACTACAACGAAGTATTTTCACCGGTCGTGAAATACAGTTCCATAAGAATTCTCCTGTCACTGGTTGCAAAAGGTGATTTGGAGTTGGAGCAACTAGATGTAAAGACAGCCTTCCTACATGGTGAACTTGAGGAGAGCATTTACATGGCGCAGCCGGAAGGATTCTTGGAAAAGGTAAAGAGAATTTGGTTTGCCTCTTGAAAAAGTCCTTGTATGGACTGAAACAGTCCCCAAGGCAATGGTATAAGCGTTTTGATTCTTTTATGATTCAAAACAGTTTCAATAGGTGTGAATTTGATAGTTGTGTGTACAGTAAGCCTGGATTAGGTGGAGATATGATATATCTTCTCCTATATGTTGATGACATGCTTTTAGCATGTAAAAATAAGGTCGAACTTGATAAAGTGAAGCAGCAACTGAAGAGAGAATTTGAAATGAAGGACATGGGCCCTGCCAAAAGAATTCTCGGCATGGACATTGTCAGAGACAGGGACAAAGGAGTTCTATTTGTTTCTCAGAAAGGATATGTTGAGAAAGTTCTTAAAAAGTTCAAAATGTATGATTGCAAATCAGTTTTGACACCTATGGGCCAACATTTCAAGCTGTCACAGGAGGACTCCCCATCAGGTGAAGATGAAGTTGCTTATATGGAAAGAATACCTTATGCAAGTGCAGTAGGGAGCTTGATGTATGCGATGGTTTGTACCAGACCGGACCTAGCATATGCAGTAAGTGTGGTTAGCAAGTATATGGCTAATCCAGGGAAGGCTCACTGGGAGGCTGTGAAGTGGATATTCAGGTATCTTAGAGGATCGGCAGGGGTTGGATTACTATATAGAAGACATAGCAGGGACTTGGAGGCTATTATTGGCTTTGTGGATTCAGACTATGCAGGTTGTGTTGATAATAGGAGGTCTCTTACAGGATATGTGTTTAAAGTTTGTGGGAATGTTGTTAGTTGGAAGGCTAACTTGCAACTGGTTGTTTCACTTTCAACAACTGAAGCTGAATTTATGGCTTTGACAGAAGCTATAAAGGAGGCCAAATGGTTAAAGGGAATTGTAGCAAGGTTAGGAGTCAAACAGGTTGCAGCCAAAGTGTATTGTGATAGCCAAAGTGCAATACATTTGGCTAAAAATCAAGTGTACCATGAAAGAAGCAAACACATAGACGTGAGGCTCTATTTCATCCGAGAAATCATAGCCAAGGAGATTTTTCTGGAGAAGGTGTCTACAGATGAAAATCCGGCTGACATGATAACCAAAGCATTACTGTCACCAAAGTTCAAACATTGTTTGAACTTGCTGGAAATGAATGTTGTTCGTGTCAACGTGGTCTGAAGGTGTGCCAAGGTGCTGGAAATTGCAGCCAGGTGGAGAATTGTTGGGATTACGTGACTGCTAATTCAGCTGGTGATGTGGCAACTTGGACTTGGTCTAAGTTGGTCTACAAAGGAGGCTACAGAGGAGGCTCGGTGTACAGATCTACAGGAGATCAAGATTAGAGATAAAGGCGGTTTAGGAATATAGCTACAGAATAAGCTAGTACATATTCCAAAAAGGTCATTATCTGAGAGTTTATCTTCTTGAAGCGAGGTTTTCTGTATAGAAACCAGAGAGAGAGAGAGATTTCTTGAAAGTGTAAATACTTGAGAAATTGTTCTTTGTGAATAAAATTCCAGTTGAGGTTTTTCCAGAATTCATCTTCTTCATTCTTATGTACAAATTGATTCTTTTGTTCTTCTTGTTCTTGAGTTCTGAGATTCAGTTCTTGGTCATATTTCTCACAGTATCAACGCTTGGTGGGGAGACTTATCTATCTATCTCATACTAGGCTAGATATAGCATACACGGTAAGTGTGATTAGTCAATTCATGCATAATCCGAAGGAGGCACATCTACATGCATCATATCGAGAGCATTATCTCAAAGGGACACCAGGCAGAGGTATTTTGTTCAAAAGGAATGGAGGAGTAGTGCTTGAAGCGTATACAGATGCAGATTATGTTGGGTCAGTGGTAGACAAACGGTCAAATTCCGGTTATTGCACTTTTATTGGTGGAAACCTTGTGATGTGGAGGAGCAAGAAACAGAGGGGTTGTTCTTTTGCAACAAAACTCAGAAAAAGTTTAAACTCAAGTTACAACTTTATTCAAGTTCACATTCTTTTAAGTTCCAACTTTATTCAACTTTACTCAACTTTATTCAAGTTACAACTTTAACTCAAGTTATAACTCAAATTCAACTCAAAAACTACACTCAAGTTACACTCCAAAAGAACAACCCCAGAATGTTGTAGCTCGTTCTAGTGCAGAGGCCGAATTCCGAGCGAGGGCTCAGGGTGTGTGAATTGCTATGGTTGAAGATTATTTTAGAAGATTTGAAGATTAAGTGGGATGGCCCAATGAGACTCAACTATGACAACAAATCTACAATCAACATAGTTAATAACCCAGTACAGCACGATAGAACAAAACACATCGAAATCGACAGACACTTCATCAAAGAGAAATTGGACAGTGGCTTGATTTGTACACCTTACGTATCTACACAGGGTCAACTTGCTGATGTACTCACGAAAGGACTTAATAGTTCAGTGTTTCAGAATCTTGTGTCCAAGCTGGGAATGGTGAACACCTATTCACCAGCTTGAGGGGGAGTGTGGAAAACGCAATCTATTGATTTTGTAAATAGGATATATTAGGAAAGTTTGAAATTTATATTTTGTATCCCTAGGATTAAGATAATCAGTTAGTTTCCTGATATCCCGTGAATAATGGGATAAGGTGTAATCTAGGAGATTCTGCTTTTGTGTATAAAACCCTAAGAGGACTGGCTATATAGAATTAATTCAGAGAATAAGAATTATTTTTTCTTCTCCTATTTTTCCACAGTTTTTGTCTCCTCTGGATGGATTTCTCATCCGTCGAAAAACTTCATTTGTAAAGTAATTGTTATATTAATGAAGTTTTTTGTTTCTTAACCAAAAAAAAAAAAAAATCTTACTATTTATTTTAGGATTGTAACTCGATTCATTCTGCAGGCTACCTTTTGTGCAAGGGGGAGGGATTTGCTGTATAAATACTGTTCTGAACATAATATTCCTCATAAACTAATTGGTAAGCTCATAGTTGCAACAAGTAATTCAGAGATCCCAAAGTTGAATCACATATTGATTCGTGGAACTGAAAATGGGGTTCCTGGTTTGCGTATGATGGAGGGCTCTGAAGCCATGAGAATAGAACCTGAACTGCAATGTTTGAAAGCCATTCTATCACCTTTCACTGGGATTCTTGATACACATTCTTTAATGCTATCTTTAGTGGTATGTATTTTCTTGTATTTTGTCTAATTAAGCATGTATTTATCAATTAACCTCGTTATGAAGAGCTAATAGGTAATTTGCTTTGTTTCTATTTATTGACAAGGGTGTCACTCCCTTATGAGTCCAGGGGGAAGCTGAAAATAATGGAGCCACTTTCTCATATAATACTACTGTTATTGGAGGCCATGTCGAACAAAGTCGCATATGCCTTCATATTTCTGAAACTAAGTGTCTCGAAAGTTGCAATGGGAGCTTTCCATCTCAACCAGAGATGACACTCATTCCTGATCTGGTTGTGAATTCTGCAGGCTTGAGTGCCCCTGTACTTGCTAAGAGATTTAATGGCCTTCAAAACGAAGTAATTCCACCTGCCTATTATGCTCGTGGCTGCTATTTCACATTGTTCAATATGAAAATTCCTCCATTCGAACATTTGATATATCCTATACCAGTGGAGGGTGGCATTGGGGTGCATGTTACCCTGGATTTGGACGGTCTGGTGAAGTTTGGTCCAGATGTTGAATGGATTGATGGTGTTGATGAAATTTCAAGCTTCCTAAACAAGTAACATTTTTTATCCTTGTTTACATTCTTACCCTTTTTATAACTCCGGCTTTGCATTCAACTCAAAATCCTAAAAATATGGTTATAAGTTATAACAAGTGGTAAGGCACTTGACCTTCAGGTCATCTCTCACTAAGGGGGGTATGGTCTAAGGTTCGAGCCCGCATTTTTCTTTTGTGTGTCCAACCGAGTGGAGGTGTTGTTGGGAAGTGACATGCTATCTTGATCTCACTATACCCTTTTTTAGGAAATAAATAAGTTAAATAAAAAGTATTATTTTCGCTAATGGTATCCTTGCCCCTGCCCTTAATAGTAGCTGCCTTTTATCAAGAGATACTTATCCTTCATATGGGAGAGAACTGCTTGGATATCGGGGAAGGCGGAAAGCTTTCTTGTCACTCGAATTTTAGATCTATATTACGTTGATATTTCTTCTAGAAGTGATTCTGATCCATAGACATATATAATGTAATACATGCCTAATTCTTTGTTTAGCTGATTAAGGGCAAATCTGTAGGCATTTGAAGGTCATTAAAAGAATATATTGCAGTGTGAGGTGAACCTGTGTTCTGCAGTAGATTATTGCATTGAACAAGTTTAAGAGAGCTATTGTACACGTATTTTAGATTTTGGGTAAGTAGAATGGAAGACTTTAGAAGTGTTGTTGAAGAAACAAATAAGTAATGTCACATTTAAATGTTCTTGTGCATCTTCCTTTTGAAAGTTGTTAAATTCTGTCATTGCCTTCCTATTCTAATTAACCTTTCTTTCTTAGCATCCCTGTACAAGTGAAATATGTATAACATATGCTCAGAAACTCACCAAAACCTTAATCCCAGGTTTGACTATTCTGTACATGCCAATCGTGCGGAGCTATTTTATGCAGATATTAGAAAGTATTACCCAAATTTGAAGAATGATTCTCTACAGGCAGGATATGCTGGTATTCGACCAAAGGTTTCTGGTCCTGGACAGCCGCCAGGTGATTTTGTAATACAGGTCAGTTCTTGGACTTTTCTTATGCCTTATTGTTTGTTAGATTATATGAGTTCAGTAGTTGACCAAACACATATCTTGATACTTATACCTACCACGAGAACATGAAGTTTATGTAAGAGCACTACTGATTTCGTGATGCAGCTGTGTTATTTTTATGCAAAATGTGACAGCACTTTGTTACTTATTGCTGCAGCATTTTTTCACTCATTGTGGCTTGGTTCAATGCTAAGACAAATCTAAAACTTAGGATCCATTTGATAGTGTTTTCAAATGGTTTTGTTTTGAGCATGAAAATGGAAATGATAATTTTTTTAGAAATGATGATAGGGTTATTTTTGAAATTGTGTTTGGTTATTTTTCTTAGGGATTGTTTAGGTATAAGCATAAGTGGAACTACAAGTATTTAGGTTAATGATGGACAAACACTAAGTTTCAATTAAAGATATGTTCAATTCTTATACAAGCGGTTTGGAATTTTCTTGAACATTTTGGACAAATACGATTGGAATTTGCAGAGGCGTATTTTTTGTTCCTGTGATTATGAACATTTTGTGATTACGAACAGACCAATCTGGTTTTTCCTACTTTGTTTTAATTTGACATTTGGCTTCTGTGTGCGGTTACAGATTTTGGTTGGCAACTTACATGGATCTATAAAAGTGGCATGATTAGACTTTCACTTGTGCAGGGAATGGAAACTCACGGGATAACTGGTCTTGTTAACCTCTTCGGAATTGAGTCGCCCGGTTTGACTTCAAGTATGGCAATTGCAGAACATATTGCCACCAGATACTTGTGATCGGGATTCAGGACAACAAATTTGTATTATATTCCTGATTGATGGTCTTGAATACTATTTTTAACAAGCAAAGTTGTTGAAGAATGATCAAAGTTTGAGTTTCATCATTTGCAAGTTCATTCACACGGAAAGTTGAGATTGCAATAAGAGTTAGCAGCGTTGTTGTATCACATCCCAAAGAGACGCTGTTGTAGAGTATGAGGATAGGCGAATAGTGAGCATGACTGAAGCAAGAGCTCTGAACCTCATAATTTATGTACATGGAGTGTTCAATAATGTAAACTGTGTAGAGATGTCGCCCATTTTTGTTGGGTCCCATGGTCATTATTGGTTTCACATATTTCACGTTGCAATTTCTACTTCACACTTCGTTCAGAGTGTTGCATAATCTATGGTTTCTTAGTAAAAATGTAGATGAAATTCGGTACAACTACACAGACTTTGCTGATTTTGACGAAATAAAAAAGAATGCAAATATTAGTCGACTTTGATAAGCAAATTGTTAGTTAAAAAAAAATTCATAATAGTACGGAATCAAGGAGAAAATGCAGAATTGAAGCATAAGTTAAGAAAGTAAAATTTAAATAAGAATTTATAATTCATTGACATCAGACTCACCGCATTTGTTCTTCTTTCCTCGAGTTATTTATAGTCTTTTGTATATTTTGTATTAATCGGAAGAAGGTATGGAAACTCTGAGTTTTCCCATTTTCCCATGTTTACACAGGTATCCTTCAAATACATCATTGAGATGTTAAAGTAGGCAATTGGAGTTCAAATCACAAGTAAAGAGACCCTTCACCACAGAGATAGCTATGTCGAGAAAATAAGCAATTTTATGGAGCATTTTTGTTTTTCCGGTTAATTTCTTTGAGGGAGTTTCTCTGGTAGTTCACCCTATCAATAGTATTAGTTTTTGAACGTTATATCTGGTCAAAAGTACATTAGATTAAAAAAGTATGCAGAACAGACAGATTCTGATACAAATCTGATAGCTAAAAAGTAAAGAACTACCGATAGTCTATTTTTGCTGAGACTACCCGAGAAAGTCCCTTCTTTGAGAGTGTGTTTAATTAGGTTCGTCATTTACAAAAGAGTAGTGTCAAGGACTTTTTTATATAGTAAGTTATCGTCTTTTCACTAGTAGATGTAGTATGTTATTATCAATTCATGTGATAATCTTTTAAGAGCATTTTCAATACAATGCTAAATAGTGTGCCAATGTCAAAATATATCATTTGAGAAAATACTCTCAAATATAATAATATAATGCTATTCTTGGAGTTAAATTTAGCATATAATATAACTAATAAGAAATTTACTACTAAGTATAGCGTATGTTAAAATTTAGCATTTGACTAGTTGATATATTTATGTTTTCATTTATTCTAAAAATAAAAGTTTACTTTTATAATTTTTAAAGTTTAATGATTATAAGATGAAGTAGATTTAGCATTTACTATAGCATTATGCATTGGAGCACAAACAAAATAACATAACAAATATGCTATTTTAATATATATTTTCTAATGACAAATAGGAATTGACGTTAGCATTTTGTCAAATTCTTAGCATTTTAATAGGAAAATCACTCTCCCATATAATGCTTTTCTTACAAGTTTTTTCTATGCCACGTTTGGCGGCAAATTTTATACTAAATATAATATATGTTAAGCTTTAACATTAATTGCTTGGTTAATGTATTTACTTTTCATTCATTATTTAATCATTACAACAAGAAAAATACTAAGAATCTTTTTATTCTTGGGACTCTCGTGACCTTACATGTATATCTAAGTGTATTATGTAATATATATATATATATATATTAGTGGTCGCAGTCACTTAATAATATATTGAAATCATAAGTGGAACGAAAAAAAAGAACTCATGATTTTGTCAACTAGTATCTAAAAAGTGTATGGTTTGAGCCTTACATCAAACAATGGAAACCGATTTATAAATGATAAGTGAGAGAGTTTTACACGTTAATAGGTCGTCCTTCAGTATTATAAATTTGTTTAATATTCTCATTTTAAAAGGGTTGGGTGTCTCTGAAAAAGTGAGAGAGAAAAAAAAAAAAAAGAATAATCTCGTCTTTATCTTTACTTGTTTCGGAACTATTTACAATCCAAGTTATCATTTGACTACAAAAACCGCGGTTCAAAAGCCACCTCAAAATGTCATCCTATTCCTAATGCTGTTCCTCAAACAAATAGTTTTTTATGATTTCTTTTTCTTTAATATGGGTATGGAGATAATGAAAATCACTATCCGCCCCCTTCTCTTGAAGGCCCCAAAATGTATGATTTTGTTGTTCAATGTCATGTTAATTAGAGGCCCTAATCTATATTACTAAAAGTAATAAAATTGTCGAAAAAATAAGTACGAGCACCCAAGATTTATAAAGATTTAAAATATGTTGTTCACGTTTTATGTACTAATGCATATGATAACTGTTAAAACATTTTAAGCGAAGATACCAACTAATGTACGACATTTTGTGGTAGTAACTAATAAGATGATGATGACGACATTAATAATGATAATAATAATTATTATTATTATAATAAAATGCCGATTAATTCAGTTTATGGTCAAAATTTGATTCTTGTAGTATTTGAGACTTTATATTTCTTGTAGGTTTGGAAAGGAAAATAAAGGTACAAAAATAGTGATCATTGATTAAATATGTAGCGTTTACTTATGTATTAAGAAGTGAAATTGAAAATAATACAATTCCTTTGTGAATGTTTAATAGACTTAGAAATAGGAATCTTATCAATATAATTACTAAAATATCTTCCTTTGTGAATGTTTAATAGACTTAGAAATAGGAATCTTATCAATGTAATTACTAAAATATCTTTCTACAAATTAGAACTGGTAAAGAAATTGGTGTTGTTGGTGAAGAGTCGAATGAGTGGAGGAAGAGGATGAAATTGGTGAGTGAGAAGACGGGTTCGTTTCGTTTGAAGGTAGCTCTGACACCAAATTAGAAACTGTTTGCAGAAAAGAAAAATGAAGAAAAGTACAGGGAAGGAAACACAGTATTTGGGAAAGGCTCAGATGAATGCTGAGCAATTAGTAAAGCGTTACTATATACAATTACAAAACTTTTTTCTGTACAGTAAAGAGAGTATAACTGTACATGTGTTTAGCTAATTGCTCCTGAGATTTAAGAACCGTTGAGTTGGAAGTGCTCTAGTCATGGCATTAGAAAGCTAGTTCTCGTGGGATGAAGAGAGTGCAATTAGTATTGTTCATGACACGCTCTCTAATTCAGTGACAGTCAATTTTAACATGTTTGGTTTTAGCATGCATAATGGGATTGGCTGCTAAGTAGCACTGACGCTGTCACATTTGAGTAAGGGAGAGGAAGATGAACTTTCGATCCAAGTGCCTTGGCAGCAACATTAGCAAGCCCTATGTATACAGACTCAACACTAGAGCGAGAAATAATCTCTTGTTTGGAAGAAAGCCAAGAAATTAGATCTAGACAAAGGAAGCTGCAATATCCACTAGTACTTTTTTAGATAAGAAAAACTTCATTGATAAAGATCAATAACAAGGGCAGAGGATAAGGTATCCTCAAACCCAAGAGAGATAACAACGGTCATGTGTGACAAAACTGACCAAGAAACAGAAAAATTATTAACAAAAAAAAAAAAAAACAAAGTCTTTGTTTCCAATATCCACTAGTATTTTCATCTGTATTGCAAACAAAGGACAAATCATTGGAAGCTTGAAAAGTAAGACCAAAGCAAGCTGTAGCTTTAAGGTATTTTAATTTGCGCTTGACAGGTTGTCAGTGAGAGGAGGCTGGAGCATGCATAAACGGTCACATTTTTTATTGATAGAATAGGCAATTTTAGAAGTGTTAAGAGTGCAATACTGAAGTGCTTCAACAGGACTAAGGGCTCGTTCTCTTCCCGGATTCGAGTTTTCAATTCGAGTTGAGATGTGATATTTTCTGAAAACTTTTAACTGTAACAAAAAAAGTTAGATGTGATATTTTCTGAGAGCTTTTAACTGTAGCAAAAAAAAAGTGACATTTTTTTAGAGCTTTTAACTGTAGAAAGCTAAAACTGAAATCTCGAATCGGTGAAATGAATGAGGCCTTAGATAATTGGTGGTATGCGAGAGCAACTGTCCATCATAAAGAGAGGGAGAGTCGGTCCATAGGACATAGGGGTTGTGTATGGCTTGCTGTCCCATACGTCTGCTCTCTTGAGAAGATTTGTGACGTACTTTTTTGCTAGAAGTAGAGAGTATTGCCTGATCAAGTGACTCAATGCCTGAAAAATAGGATAGAGGACCTAAATCCTTGTAGGAAAACCATTTATTCGGGTTGGTAATTAATTGTTGAACAAGGCCGGAATCACTCTTTGTAACAATAATGTCGTCTTTATAGACCAGAATAAAGAGCATTGTGGAGCTGGCAACAAGAGTAAACATATGTAATATGTGTATATACCGGTCTGGAATTAGGTGTAGCTATATTACAAGCTTATGTTTTTACGATCTTAATCTGTATTTACTTGAATGATGCTATAAATCTCCATTAATGATGCCTTAGATTCCTTGAAACCTCATTGAAGCAAGCACTGATTAAGCTTAGTCAACCAGGCCCTAGGGGACTATCTCAGACCATATAGAGCCAGAAAGTCTCTATATGGGGCTGAAAAGAATCTAGAAAGGCCGGGGGTTGTCATATACACCTCCTCCTCCAAGCCTCCATTCAAAAATCCGTTATGCACATTTAACTGACGCAGAGACCAAACTCAATACAATTCGAATAGTGGTAGGTCTAACCATGGACTGAAGGTCCCGAAAATAGTCAAGTCCTTGAGCCTAATGATAGCCTTTATCCACCAATCGTGCTTTGTGTCTCTCTATTGTGCCATTGGGTTTCAGTTTAAGCTAAGAAACCTACTTGCAGCCAACAATTTTAGCATTGAGAGGAGAAGAGACAAGTTGCTAAGTGTTGTTTTTGTGGACAGCTTCTAGTTCCGCTGGTATAGCTTTGTCCAATTCTTAGCAGAGGTAGGCTTCAAGTCAGATGGAGCAGAAATGATGACAGGACTACATAAGGGTTTTGGCTTGAATGTCCATCGTTAATTCAGGTGATAATGGAATGAACATTTTTGGGTTTTGGTCCCTTGTAGAGAGCAAGAGTTGACTGCACAGCAGTAAGATCATTAGCACTATGTATAACATTAGTAACACCTCAATATGCACACAAAGAATGTGGTGTGACAGAAGGAGATGAAGAAATGAGAGGAGCGGTGGAAGTAGGGGAGGGCTTGGGATAGGAATTGTGGATGGTAAGGTAGGGGAAGCTGAATGAACATGTGTGGC